CCTTGCCACCGTATGATCTGCTTGGAGATTATCATTTCCCCACTTTTCCGAATTCCAACTACGATGTGTATCCCCGTAGGAAGGCCTGGTGGAGGCTAGGTACTACGACGTTTGACTGAGTCAGAACTCCTCTGAGATTACAGAGTGTAACCATTCCCGTAACCTGGCAACCGGCGGGTTCAATGGTGCTTCCTCGGCTCACTGTAAACACTCCAGCCGCCTGGCGATTATCCTGCCACGGCGGGGTTTTGTTTTGCATGGGAAAACGCAGGGGAGGGTCTGAATGGGGAGTATACGCAGTGATAGAAAACCGGTGTATGATAAGAAAAGTCACAATTTTACCCTGCAGCAACCTCTCTTTTTCCGAAAGCGTTCGGGCAAGTAGACATTGCTATTGGCAAACTATGTTATTTTACTCGTAATATATATGATAGAAGGCATTTTATTCCCGTAATTTCTAGAAAGGTTTTCGAATTTCGTGTCATTCATGGCTTTATGCAATTTACAGGGTAGGTGTAGCTGGAAAACCTATCTTAAAGCGTTGTCGGAACCCCCATACATACCCTCTTATGGTCGCTATTACGATGTTACCCTTCTTAGGCCCCCAGACGAGGGTGAAAGTTCTGCGGAACTGTAACATGAGTAGGTATTCTCCTTAAGACAAGTTTTCTTACGGAGTCCCTTTAAAGGGCATCTTGGCTATGCCATATAGGACAGGAGACAACGAATCTGGGCCTGATCCAAGCCCCTTAGAACCTCCAAATAAAGATCTCAGAGTCTTGCGTCACTATATTCGAGACACACTCTGAGTTGCATTCTTGCTTCTAGTTGTGACTACAGGGATATTCTATGAAATACAAACAGGAACGACGATCTAGGATTTTGAGTTACATCCTTTGCTAGGAGACTGATTTGCGTTCTAATCTTATTTTGGAGGGCAGTAATGTTTGTTTTTTTTCAAATCAAGAGTATATTTTTTCTAATATGTCTGGCATATTAAAATAGTGGAGCTTCATTTCTTGTTTACAGGGAGCGTAGTTTGGGAGCGAGTTAATCTACTTGAATGGTAAATAACATTAGACAACACAATTACTTCCTTACTACTGTAGGTCCCAACACAACACAGTCATGTTTTGTTACGTATAAATTTAATCTTTAACCTTTGTGGCCCCTTTCTCTTTTTTCGCGGCAATCTGTGAGCTGATTGGTCAATCTTAATTCGAGCGAATTCCACGACAGGGTAGGGACCTTGTGGGTTTCATGTTAATTGTTTGCCTTTGGGCGAAGCACGCTTTAGATAGATAAACAACACGACAGGTCATTGACACGGACCAAGGAGGATCTATAAACTTGCGCAGGTGTTTTGGCAGCAGAAAGAAGGCAGAGAAACAACTGATAAATACTACTACATACCTTTGGGGGCGTAAAAATAGTAAACGTTATCCAAATGCGGTTAGAAAATTGTCGCCGCGATTAGAATTGCCCGGGGCTTTTTTCCTTTCTTTTTTCTTTTTTTTTTAGTTTCTCGATGTTACCCATTTTTGGCGTCTCTGTAGGATTTAAGTTTCTTGTGTCGTCCAGTGGTTAGTGACCCTGTCTCTGGATCCTGAAATTTGAAGTTCGAATCCCAGCTGTTGTCGTTCAACCGGTATGCACGCTACTGGAAAGTGTCCCAGTTCTTACGTAGCTAAAACTTGCTAAAACTGAATCGACATCACTTTCCTTTCCAAGTTATGTTCCAAACTCATGTTCCAAGTCCTGCGATATGATAAATATTGATCTAAAGACCTATGTTTAAATGGTGTAAATCCACGGAAATTTTGAAACTTACACACCCATTTTGACCTTTGTCTTTGAATCTAATTTGCTGGTATGTTGTTTACCTTGGGCATAGGTGCGGGGCCAGCAGTACGGGTCGGTACGTGTACGTGCAGGCATGCAGGTCATGGTTTGTAACCGCTGTTTTACATGCAAGGAAACGGCGAAAGTACTTAGTCTCTCTAGCAGGCTTTTGGGTGACGTTTTATACATCTAAAACTCTACATAGTAAACCAGTAAAGCACTGTTTCCAGTATCCAGGTTATGTATGGGCTGGGGTGGTTTGTGTATTGTGCTTTATGGATGGCGCATAAAATATCACCGCAAGTTTATAGAAGAAAGTCCCAATTATTAAAAAAATTGCGTTAAACGAATGGATAATAAGAACAAATATCACTTTGAAAACAAAATCATAGTTACAAAGAGTTGAAAGGAGATCAAGTCAGATATGTATGTGCTAGTGTGATGTTGACTTTTACTCGATCTACATGAACGATATTACATGCATACGGGTTGCTGATATACGTAGCAAGTAAACCAACTTTAGCCCCTGTGACACATTCACTAATCTGAGGCCATTGACCTCCCGGACAAAGGCCGAACGCCCCCCGACCCTCTCCAAACCATGGTCCGGGGGCGTTCGGCCTTTGTCCGGGAGGTCAATGGCCTCAGATTAGTGAATGTGTCACAGGGGCTAAGGCCACACCAAGTAAATTTTATGGATGATGTCCGCGCGCGCATTGATTTTGGCCTGTTCCTAGAAAAAAACAACAAGAAATTCCGCTTCCTGTAACTATGATCAAAGAGTCACGACAGTGCCGCAAATCGTCAGATCGTGAAACCCGTAACGCCGAAAGCCTGTGCCTGGTAAAAAAAACTTGAAAACAAAAATGAAAAAAAAAAATGGCACTGAAAAAAATCCTGTCAATAGTTCCAAAACAGTGCCGTTTTTTGGAACTATTAACAGACAGGTCCTGTCAGCAGTGCAATATTTCTTATCTAGGCATCTTGTTTTTTAGGGCCCTTCTTGTTTTTTTTTTCGCCCTCTCGCATTAGATTTAGGGTATCCAAAGGACGTCATCCATAGAATTTACTTGGTGTGGCCTAAAGTTGGTTTACTTGCTACCAGAACCCGTATGCATTGGTTGGGAGGTTCGATCACGGTTGGCTGGTATTCGGCTGTAATGCTTAGGTCACATTTCCAAACAGGGGCCCGGCCGGGCTGTTTGTATAAACGAAAAATTAACAATTCATATCAAGAATATACAAAAATAGTGCCCATGATTGTTATTAAGAACTTTTCTGTGTTTTGTTGTCTTTTATATCATATTTTTCGTTTCCAAAAGCTGCCCGGCTGGGAATTGTGACCTCAGCATAAGTCAGCAAAACGCCAGCCAACCATTCGGGAATATAAGTCAACTGTGTTCGGGCGTGTTCAGGGGTCCAATTTGACTCAATTTTAACTTAAATTCGCTCCGATTCGTGTAGAAAAGCAGGCGTGGACTAAATACGATCGGAAGGTTCCGAATGTCAGCCTGGCCGGCTGGTGTTCGGGAATATATGTAGAACTTTATTGCACGATAATTGCACATGACACAATGTATGGCAAGTACAAACAACAATTAAAAAAAAACAATGAAATAAATGTGTTCAATAAGACTAACATATCCTAATTACTCAAACAACAAGGTTTAGCACAAGACTTTGTTAAAGTCTTACAATCGAGTGGGGCTAATTTCGAGTTTCGGTACTTTTTCTAATAACAAATCAATGTTTTGTATATTTACCTAGTATTTTTGCATCGTCATAGGTGGAATGTCGTGAATGCGTGACATGTAGCAGGGGATTTACTGACACTACCCAAACACTGGACAGCTGTTTAAAAACTGTGCACCATATAAAAATGGGCCAGTGAAACGGACATACTTAATAATTCATAAAAATCAATAATTCATGTCAGCAAGATGACCCACATGTCCCTTGTTATTGCCTAATGGTCATCTTTCCTAGTCCACTTTCTGTACACAGTGTATCTATCTATCTATCTATCTATCCATCCATCCATCCATCCATCCATCCATCCATCCATCCATCCATTCATCCATCCATCTATCTATCTATCTATCTGTCTATCTTTTGGTAAGGCAAAGAGCATTGTAATTAGATAAATACTTGGGTATCTTTTTCTTTGATTAATGATCTTTCCAAAAGTCGCTTTTCAAGAGTAGAGTAATATATCATTAAAAGTGGGCCAGCTCCCCTGACAATACTGCATGCCACACCTGGCCTATAATGACCACGGAAGGCGACAATAGAAAGGTATTTTTTAGCAGGCTGTTTTTGTAAGGAAATGTCTGACCGTTTCCAAAATCACATACAGTTGCCTGCGTAACTGCTTTTTTATGCGTATCTTATTGCATGTACCTTTACCGATGTGTTACAAGCCGGTTAATTCAACACACTTTTTGTCGTGTTCAACACACTAATGTTATATAACGCAGCAAGGAACTGCCAACAAAGATCTAATGCTGCACTTTTCGATAACAGGACAGCCTGAATTCCGTGCGGCGACACATGCCCGACTATGGCAAGAATGCCATTATTTTTCCCTTTCCCAAGGGCACGCGATCGGTGGCATGGCAGGATTCGAACCCGGGACCTCTTCCGTTCTTACTACCTGTCACACCCAAACAACATTGAAACGCAGGCCCGATCTTATCGTCTGGTTATATATTATAACCTCAATGAGGCCCTGAACTTTTAACCCTTTTCTTTGTGTTTATATCCAGCCCGTCTGAACCTTACCTTTTTGGGACAGAAGTTTTTTTTTGTCCTGATTACCCTGTATGTAACCAATGGCTAAACGGCTATTTTATGATTTCTCTTTTATCTAGATATTTACAGCTCTTATATAGCCCTTTGTTTATACATCCCACAAAACATTGAATGACCTTCATCGATAAGAAGGTGACTCCTCGAACTTTGACCATCTCACCTTGTCGCGAACTCGCTCCATGCATAATGTATGAGCAGTAATCAGATAGGTCAAACATGCTGGCTCCAACAAACAAACAAACAAACAAAGAAATAAACACGGTCCGAGAAACCCAGCTATCCACCTTACCAGACTCAGACTCAACCGCAGTCAGTTAAACTTTCACCTGTTCCAACATCAATGTGTGCTCAGTCCTGCGTGCAAATGTGGTCACTTCAACGAAACAGCTGTACACTACTTCCTACACTGCCCACTGTACACTGACGAACGCATTGACATGTTATCATCTCTAACTAACATTCTGCCATTTGACACAAACAACGTCACCGACAACACTTTATGTTCAACCATTCTCAGGGGTAACCCCTCATTGTCGTTTGTCAACAACTGTAACATATTTGATGTGGTTTTCAACTTTATTTTGCAGACAGGACGTTTTGTTTGATTTAGTTGATTCATTTTGATTTGTACACCAGCCTACTATGTACCCTTGTCATTTCTTCTTCTTATTATTACTTTGTTTTATTGTATCCTTTTATGTGTGAGGAGAGGGCTGAGATAAGTTTTATAACTTTTTGCCTCATCCTCGGAAAATAAATGTGAATAAAATAAAATAAAATAAATAAATAAACAAATAAACAAACAAACGACATGCATGGTACTGCTAAACCAAATGATTGCCCTATTTTTTTTCGATTCACTACTCGAAACAGTAGCTTTGAGTCGTCTGGTCTAAAATTATTGTTACAGATGTTCAAGCACTGCACTCAATGTTCTACTATTCTCCTCAGTACTGTCAGCGCTAGAGCGCCTGTTGCGGAACGTGACAAATCGCAGTTAGATATGACGTATATTTCGTGCTAGCCGCGTTAGAATTGGGGCGAATTTTTATTGTCTATATACATAATAAATCTGTTTGATAAATAGATAGTAGAACATTTCCGTTTTTTTTTGGGGGGGGGGAGGGGGTATTTGCAGCCATAATAGATAAGTATTTTGTTATCATATTTAGTGTTACTACTCTCCAAGCAGAGATTCAGGTTTTGGGTTATTTTTGGCGTGTTTTAGGCTTTTTTTATCGGGGTTTCTTTTTTGCACTAGAATTTTTTGGATGAAAAAAAGTGTAAAGAAGAATCCCCGATTTAAAAAAAAAACTAAAACACGCCAAAATTAACCCAAAACCTGAACCTCTGCTTGGAGAGTAAGTGGTACTGCCTAACTGGTGTATGAGTCTTAGACCTTGTGCAACTTAAGTTTCCCATTTATTTCTCAACTCTTTCCTTCCTTCCATCCTTACAGTTCCGCGGAGCTTACAACGCCATCTCCCGTCTCGTCAGCTCGACCAATCAGAACCCGCCTCCCGTGGTGACGCACAGCAGCGGGAACCACGCATGCGCGCTGGCCCTGGCGGCGCACCAGCTGGACGTTACTGCGCATGTGGTGATGCCGCGCACCGCGCCGCAGTGTAAGAAGGAGACAGTAAGGGGGTATGGCGGGAAAGTTATCGAATGTACGCCGACGGAACAGGTAACTTTCTTCCACTTTAGGCCACACCAATTTAATTAGTTTTCTTAGATTCGCCTCTTCATTTTTTTCTGATTTGCAAAAGAAAAAAAAATCTGATTCTGATTCAACTAACAAATGCTCATATTTTGCCCCCAACAGTTCAGGCAAGTCCTTTTCTTCCTATTTGTTACAGTTTTTCCAGGGTGAACGTTGGATACGGGCGGCCAATGAATACTGGCGGCAAACATAAAGCCCCCTTTAATACCCCACCGAATCTATACTTGGAGATTACAAACATCTTGTATACATCATATAGCTTAAATTTTCCGGTACAGGCTCGAGTAGAGACCATGGAGCGTATTTCTGCACAGGAAGGAGCTGTGTACATCTCCTCCAGCCAACATCCTGACGTCATCGCCGGGCAAGGCACCATGGGATTGGAGCTCCTCCGACAGGTGAGCGTGCGTTAATAATAATAGTCCAGGAACAATAGGCTAGAAAATGATGAAACTATTCATGGAGTTCCTTAGGCTTATAAAACGTTTTCCCGTACAGGTCCCGGACCTGGATGCGGTGATCACGCCTGTAGGAGGAGGGGGGATGTTGGCGGGCGTGTCTCTGGTTATGAAGGTAACGTCACACGCAGAAAGATCATAATAGACGCAAGCATGCGAAAGAAAACAAACTGACGGTAATCTTGCATTACGTTATCATCATGTAGCAATCATTTGGATCGTATGAATTAACAAGCAAAGAAACATGACCAGTGTTCAGATAAAGAATGTTCACGTATGAGAAACTTTATTTGGTAAATTGTAGTTACACTCAATATGATGCTACGCAAGGTGCATGTACGTAAAACTAAAATGTACACGTATTCTACGCGAATTAATTTGGCAACGGAGATTTTATTTTCGCCTATGCATTTTACCACTGACATCAAGCCAGCACACTCCAAGCCAACACACACACACACATATGCACGAACACAAACGTATACATACCAAAACCAACATCTCTCGCACATGGATGTATAGATATCAACCTAACGTTTGGCAACGTTTGTTTGTTCCAGTCTTTAAACCCTCACGTGCGGGTGTATGGAGCGGAGCCTGAGCTCGCAAACGACGCCGCCACGTCATTGGCGCAGGGGGAGAGATGTCCCCTGTCATATTACCCAGAAACCATTGCGGACGGGCTGAGGATAAACATGGGGCCGGTGGCGTGGCCGTACATCCGGGACAATGTGGACGACATCATCTGCGTCACCGAGGAGGAAATAAAGGTGACAAACGGTTTAAATTTAGAATTATTGACTCAACCCAAGGTGTATCTGGTGTCATAAGGCGCGGTCACGGTTCGCTGCGCTCACTCGGTGCTTCAATCGGTGGTTATGACGAGGTCTTATGACACCATAAACAGCGATTAGTAGGTGGGTCTTACCCAATGTGAAATGGGGATTTCTGATTGGTCGACATCTTCTCGTTAGATGGAAATAAAGAAAAGAAAAAAAATATAATGAAATATGTTTTTTAATATACTACAAGTCATCGATCGTTTCAAATGGCAGCGACTGTTAACGAGACGGAAACACGCATCGCCGATTTAACCAATTCCGAGTCTTTGCCCTGACATATACATTCACTGTTTTCACATCCCAGAACGCCATGACACTGATCTGGCAGAGGATGAAGCTGGTGGTGGAGCCGTCGGGCGTGGTGGGCGTGGCCGCGGCTTTGAGTGACAGCTTCAAAGCACGAGAGGAGGCAGCCAAGAACGTCGCCGTCATCCTTTCTGGCGGGAATCTGGACTTACTGAAACTTCCCGATCTACTGTCCATGTCAGAACATGTCTAACTGTTACAGGATCTGTAACAAGGGGAAGAACGATGTGCACTAGTCTAGTAATACTATTACATGTAATAATCATCTCTGAAAAAAATTGGCAATGACAACCTTGACAGCCTCATCATGAATTAGAAATAGACTCCAAGCAGACGAAAGTTAGTCTGCACCCATTGCAAGCTCCTAAAGGTGTGCGTACCACGCGTATGCAACGTCGTCACGGTTTTTTGTGTGCAATGATGGTCACGCTTTTATGTGTATTTATATAATCAAGTGCCTATATAGCACAGAAATCCCCGTCAAGGACAATGGTCGTCACTATTTTCTGTGTGCAATTGAACTCCGCTTGTGCCCTGTGGATGCCGGTGGTAGTGCTTTCGTTATGAAGTAACGATGGTGCAAATAATGGTGCAAATGATATTCATATTAGATACGTGATTGTAAGAAAGGAATATGGTAAGAAAGGAAAGGAACTGGCCCCATGTTTATTCTCAGCAAACGCGAATAAAGGATGTCTTTGTGCCTTCTTGCCCTCAAAGGGCGAAATACAGTGCGTTGAAACATGACGTAACAGATACAGTAATATATAGTTATATAGAATGCAAATTTGACTATGCAAAGCTAAAAATGTGAATATTTGATGCACTTTAAATTTTAGAGAATATCACAATTGTATGCTTATTGTATTTTTTTCTTTCATTACAATGCAAGGATTCCTATATATGTAAAATAACTTAACAAATATGTTACCTACAGTTACTATTGCAAAAGCAATCAATAAAGTACAGAAAACCTCAAAAAGCAGTTTCCGACAAAGTAAATGATAATTCACCACATCACACCACTCCAATCTATTTCAATGAGAACGGTTTAAAATTTAAGTGCCGTGATAATAAAATATCTTACAGTACATCTTGGATATAGTTGCAAGCTATAACTTCTATTTTACGTATATCCTTGACAGCCCTATTTCTATCACACGTGTTGGCATTTTAGCAGTGAATATCTGAATGTCTTCTTTTAAGAAACTTTAACTAAAGTGTCCAGAGAATTGAGTGTACTTTGGTTTATTTCCCCATGAATTTTGAAAGTTTAGTGTCAGAATGTTTGACAACACTCCCATGTTTATACACCAGTACTGATGCCTCATGGCTGTTTGTTTCTGACGCCATGTTGAACACGTGACACGTCGTTCCCAGGGTGAGCAGGCGGGCCGTAACACAGTCCCAGGATAGAGTTGTCCTCGTCCTCGGCGGGTTGGGCTCCAACACACACGGCACCCGGGTAGCCGCACTCGTGGTTCGCAAAACAACATTTTTGCTGAAAGAAAAAGAAAGATAAGCAGGACTTTACACACGTCATATCCATTATAAGAATATGATTGCATGGGCTACTTGGCTACTAGTATTGTAGAAACCCATCAACCCACCCAAGTGTCCCATCAAATTATAAAACACCAGCGCAAATATTTACCTTCGAAATAATTTAATTCTTGACTATGACTTGGTTTCTTTATCTTGAGAAGACGAGCACAACCAATAGTTCTTGATAAGTAATTTAAGAGTGTAAGCATAGTAACTGACTTTTTCCCCAATTTTTCAAACGCGGTGGGTTGTTACATTGACATTTTTGTAGTCTCTCAATCTCTTAACTTTCTGCACCTTAGATACAGCTCATGTTTGTTTTGAAAATCAGCCAACCAATCAATTTATCAATGGATTAAATCATAGTTTTTTTTTATTCCAACATGTAATCACCAGACGTGGTGACGACACACTCAAGTTTTTTCTTACCTTGCAATACCCCTCCTGGACGCCAGGTGCCATCATACAGAACTCCCAGTTCAGACATTTCCCGTTGGCCTCTCCGAACGTGTTCCCGCCGCACCACCTGGGCTGGAGGGTCGGCAGGTTCTCCGGGGTCCAGACCTGGCGAACTCCCGGTGCCACGGGCGTGCGCGGCGGGCCCCGGATCCCCACAAGGCTGTTGTGTGTCCGCCGGACGCCCATCGCTCTCCCTAAGGGAGGGCCTACTGTAGTAGCCCCTGGTTTCGGCTTGGGGCGAGGCATTCCGGGAGGAAATGTCGCCACTGCTATCGGCAGGCGGACTGGAGGAACAGGCGTGCTGGACAGGTCGTCTGGAACTGCGAACTCGTCTGGATTTTGAGGTTTTAGGAGTGTCTTGTTCTTTGCGTCATCATCATTCGTGGCCAGCGGCGCAGACAAAATGTTTTCTAGTATTTGCTTGATATTTTCTGAGCTCTTGTCACTCTCGGCCTTCGTAGATTCTGAGGATTTTGCGTCTCGCTTTGCCCTCATGGGGTGTCCGGGTGGGTACTTGCGGGGGTAGGTTGGATAAGGGACGGGCAGGCGGGCAGGGGGGCGCACGGGGTTGAGGTACGGGTTCGGGGCAGGCGCCGGGGGTAGCACAACGGTATACGGCCTAGCGCCACCTAGCGGCTGTACTGCAGCGTTTGGTGGCACTGCACCTACAGGGTACTGGTATTTCGGCACTAAATCACGAACGCGAGGTTTTCTTGGGTTGTACGGTCCAGGTCCTGGGCGTGATACAACACTAACGGGTACGGCTACCGAGGGACGTCCAACGACCGGCTTGGGTTTACCTCCTCCCTGTGATACCACAGCGCCGCCTTGCGGGGAGGACAGGTTCCGCACACGGGGTTTTCTGGCGGTCTGTTTGACGTCTTGTTCGCCGCCAAGTTCAGGACTTGCTCCCGTCACAGTCTGAAACAAGAAATTAGAGATTTCAAACTTACAGGAACGACAACATAAATTGCATCATAATAGGTCAGCAGTGTTCGGGTTCATTGAACTCAAATCCGATGTGATACGTATATAGAGGTAGGCGTGGCCTTAATCTGAATGCTCCGAAATTTTAGCCAACCTTGGTTGGTTCATTGTCGAAGATTAAGGTTCTGTCAATATATATGAAAACTTATTTTATTGTTGTTACTCTCTCTTTATGTAGTTTGCCATACATTGTACCATGTGCAATTGTCGTGCAATAAAGTTCTTCTATTAAAATTTGTGACAGGAGCTTTATACAAGAAAATGTAAACGTATTATAGATTTTGGTACATTTAGAATTAAAGAATAGGTCAATATACTAGTATTTCTGTACGTACATGTTGAAGGACAGCCAACAGGAGAATCCCTGCTACGTACCGGCTCATCTTTATTCTGGTGTAGAAACTCTGAGGAAAGAAGGAACAAACCATTCGTTTAATAGAATATACCGATAATGCTATACAGTATGTATACATGCTGTTCCTTTATATTTAAGCCAGTTGTTATGTGCAATGAAGGTCTTCATTTTTACCATTTTTTACATTCATTTTTACAGGAGATCTATCTACTAGTAGCTCTTGTAAGGGACAGAGTATCTCACAAGTTGAGACAAGGTTTAATAGTTAAACCTGGAGGTTATTAAGACAATTGTACAAGGAGGGACTCAAGCCTCGCCTAGCGAACTCTGGCATGTCTACGATATCAAACCCATACGGATGGAGTTAAGCGTGTTAAGAGGGACGCCTCGGACTTAAATTAAGACTTGATAAGACGATTTCCAAAACGACTGAAGCGTGATCGAACTGCTCTTTGAGGAAAAGGGCAGACGTCCCCTTTGCGTTACGTAGTAAGGCCATGTTTATTTGATTATATGGATGGCATCCACGTATGCAGGAATGTTCGTCTGTTTACAAAAAAAAAAAAAAAAGAAAAAACAGGCTTTCCACCATATACTGTGCTGTAAATCATACCAACCTGCTGCAAAATGAGCAAATATAGGCCGTAAATTGCAAACAAAATCATGGAGACCGATACAATGCCAAAATCAATTCTAAAGGATGTGAAAGAATGAAATCGAAGAATCTATTATTCGCCATAGCACACTGTGTGTTTACATAGTTGAACCTTCATGACCACGTAGATTTTATAACGAAGGCAACTTTCTATTCGCACGCTCCCGTCAGTTTTAGAATTTCCAGAAGATCTCATCCATATCATCAAATTATCATGGCCTAAACGATGGGAACGTTACCTCATTTACAAACTGGGGCCCGGCCCAATTTGTATCAAGAATATACGCAAATACTGCCCATTATTAATATTTTTTTCAACTTTTTTTGTGCTTTGCTGTCTTTTATATCATATTTTTCGTTGCATACGTCCGGGTTGGGAATGTGACCTCAGCATATCACACTGAAAATTTCCCTTTTTTCTTGAACATTTTGGTACAGTTTGGCTTTTGGTCTGGAATAAACATGCAAGGTCTAAACAAGGAGCTTCAACTCCTTGTGTGTGTGTAGAAGCTCCTTGGTCTAAACGTTCCTACTTTGATCAAGTTTTGTTTGTTGATCTTTATTTCACCAGTTTAGTGGACGTAACGAGAGATCTGAGTGGTTCGGCCTGCCATGGCCATGAGGCCAAATGAGGTCAAACATGAGGGAATGGGGTCAAAAGTAGGGTTTGTTCACTGTTGTCGGAGTTCGAGCTGGTCAACCCCCTGTTTTCTCTACATATTGAGGAGATATAGCCTTGTGACTTTCTGGTGCAGAAGATGTTTTTAGATTAAAATGTGGGAAAGTACCTTTATGAGTCCTTGTTTCAGTGTATTTAACTATAGACTTTAGGGTTAAAACTTATTATGGCGGTTTTTGCCCTAAATACTAGAAGAGGGTCGTGCTAGAAACCTAAACATCACCGCGCCGTTTCCTCCGCGATTGGTGTTGCTATGGCAACGGCATGCCTGTTGCGACGGGTGACGCAGCTGTTTGTGTCACGTGACCGTGTAACGTTTCATCATACAGTTTTGATTTCAATGACATGCATGACCTTTTGAGACGGGGGGGTGGGTGTTGAAAGCTCCTGTCACTTATACCTGAATATGGCCTCCCGAACACTGCCGAACTCCCTACAACCATGGTTAGGAGTAGGTCGGGAGTAAGGTCGGCTGGTGTTCGGCCAGGTCAACAACTGTTCGGCTAACCATGCTTCAATTGTAGATATCGATACAATAAAGTCAATGTTTAAAACATTCGGATGTAAGCGGAATAGTCGGGGATGGTTGGCTGGTGGTTGGTTGGTGTTCGGAAGTAGGTAGGGGCGTGATTGGCAGTGAAATTTGACTCGAATTCAACTCAAATTCGATTCGTCTCGAAAGATATGGGTGGCCTAAATCCTGTCAGACTGCACCCAAACTTCAGCCAACCTAGGTCGGCTGGTGGTCGGGGAAAGGTTCTGAATGTGTGACAGGCACTAAAGTGACGAACTCAAATACGATATTATATAGCGTTTCATACATAGGGTGATTCTTTTTGAATAACAACACTTTACTCTTTATCTTCGAATAATAATAAATCCTAACTATCATTCTACATTCTGTGATCCATCAAATCCTTTGTCCCACTTTTTGTTCAGTTTGCATTCAAACTCAAATACAACACATTATAACGATTCATATGTAGGGTCTTTTTTTAATAACAGCGATTTAATCGTTGTTAATGAACAATACCATGTTACGAATATCCCTTCTCCTTCTTTGATTCACGAAATCCATTGTCTTCTTGTTTGTCCCACTTTTTTCACTTTCTCCTCAATGCATACATACCAGATGGTGACCTTTCCTTAGATCCTACCCTAATCTATTCACAATGAGTCCCTATTTTCATAGCGCGGACAAAAGGCTCAGGCCGTCATATGGAGTAACCTGAAATCCAGACTGTTGCCAGGGCCTACACAGGTCAGCTCAGCTGTTGGGCACAGACAAGGTCTAACATATATACCCCAAGGAAAATTTGCCTCAGATTGAGAGTGTAGCTGGTAGCTTGAAAACCAGCCTTTAAAAAGTTTAACAATACACCCACTCCTTTTTATACACCCACATCACTTCATATCCTCTCTGTTAAATGCCCTCCCTAGAGTTCTTTGACAGAGTCGGAATAAAGGGGCATTATCTAGTTTGCACCGCTCCAGAACAGATTACAGAATGATAGAGGAGTACGGTATACTGGGTATAGTCTGGATGCCAGACCCTAGCTCGACACAATACTCAGTTCAGCTGGGGTAAGCCTCAATCCCCGATCCCAGAGTTAGCAAAATTGAGGTCTAATAAATGATTTTATCTCTCGACCCGTCTATCTGAGGTAGTGTCTTTGGTAAAACCTTTCGGAGCCGACAAGCTAGCCTGTATTGCATGGTAACTGTCTGGCACCCAGGCTAGTTTCCAGGACCTACACAAGCCACTGGTCCTCGGCTCCAGGGTCAACATGCCCCCAATGAAATTATACTAGCTACAGCTTTAACTGGCTCCCCTTACGCTGGCTAATAATTATGGACCTGGCGTTATATCGGTCTGGCATCCAGGCTAGGACCAGAGTTATTCAATATACAGCTAGCGTGGAGCAGAGCGAGAGACTGGTCTGTCTTCGTCCTGGAAACAGTCTGGCACCCAGACTAGGTACAATTACACACTAAGATCGGTTTGGGATAGTACTGTTGACCACACATAGCTGTATTAGCTTATTTATTCATTTATTCGGCTTATTTATATGTTAAGAAGCCCTCGGACAAACCACAAAATGAGCTTCTTTAATAAAGTATCAACAAGGACATTATACAGAACGGGTATCAAGTATCATTAAATTGCAAGAACACAAGGGTGGTACGTAACGATGAAAAATGTACATGAAGGTTTTGAGCAGGAAAAGGCCAGTCTATATTCATTTATATAGACCAGAAACAGATGTTGCTACGAAATGCCAATCAAGTCTCATCTTCCAAACGTGCTGGTCATTAGAAAAAAGTCGCGAACCAACCTAGTCGTGCGACATCCGTTCGGCATTTATTTCTCGATAGTGTGTGTTGTTTTAGAAAGGTTTTGTTTTCAAACTGATTTGCAATGAAAACCTGCACCATGTCCAGGGGCGGACACGAGAGATAATTTGGTCAGGGGCTTTGGGCTTGGCTTCATCGGGCGCTGTCAGCTTCTATCACCGCCTGGCCAGCTTACCCCGCCCGGTCATTAGGGATGCCTGTCTGAATTCAATTAAACAGCCATTTTGTTAATCCTACCAGGGGGGCTGAGGTAAGATTTCCTCGGGGGTATGAAAGACATTGTGCCGAAGAGCTGGCCTGTGTAGGCCCTGGCAACAATCTGAACTACAGTCCGAGTAAAGAAAATACAGTACACACTCATTCTTTATTTAAGGTTGAGCTCTTAGCTCTTGGCTGTCCCCTGCTTTGTTGTGGTTCTTTTGTAATGCAGCCCTCTTATAGATTTGCTAGTTGTAAAATGGCGCCCCTAAAGCTACCAATAAAACTACCTGTATCTTTACGCCTACAACGTTACTAGTCAAAGTGATCACTCAGTGACTTACCTTGGTGTGACACAAGATGACAGCAGAGACAACTTTAAGAAGACGTTGTCCGGAGTGGTGACGTGGAAGATGGCCCGCACAATTGGGAACAGAAGGACATTCCAGACCAGGGCAGACCTACGAACCCACCGCACCTCTCCAGTAGGTCTGTCTCGTACAACGTCGCTCGTTGAGAAACTCGAAGTGACAATACAGGGTGCCCACTACAACACCAGCGCTAGAACTTTTTCAGGAGGGAGCGATGATTCTTGAGTTACACAGAAAATCAGGTCACGCTACGGGTCTGTTGTTCTGTTGATAGTACTCCCAGGATTAGGGACGGTTCTTCACGGTAGGAAGTACGGAAATGAACCGGCGTCCAATGTCAAGAAGAGGACTGTGTTTTGGCCGGGGAATTGGGACCTCTTGGCTCCCATCTGGTTTGGATAAATGAGGTCGCTGTTGGGAAGCTTGATTGCGACGGGGATTGGATGTACGAAGGCCCAAAGCTGCATTCTTTGCCGCCTACGCGTACTCCTCCGTAGCCTAGACGGAGCCTCTTGGCAGCCTACGGGAACTTTCTTTTTTCCACAGGATGGGGCTCGGAATAAAGAGACTCTAGATGTTTTTACAAAGCCAAGAGGTGTACTCAGTCGACGTTTTGGTGACCGTCTGTCACCTTCCCAGGACAATTCTAGCTGACTTATTGACATTGTACAGCTATGTAACGGAAACAACGGGGTTAGTAATTTCAAGTGTTAAGAGCCAGGAAACCATTAGTTTCACACCACAAGGTACCAGAACACAGTATCAATGGACGACCCCCATGTCTATGCGGGTATAGTAAGTAGTGCTGGCAAAATATTTGAAGACTGGGTAGAACGTCTAATGTTAGCGTTAGCCAAGTATGAAATTTGCAGTGTAGTCTATGATTGAATATGTTTTGTCATTTTTTTTTGTCATTTCGGGTATAAATGCATATGCGCCACATTACGCAACTGGCTTTTGGGGGTGTGAGTCGGCTGCAGTTCATTTGATCTCCGCAAGGCGCCATTTCAAAGAGATCGTCATACACGGATTAGTTTTTTTTGGTTTTTAATATTTTGTAGGTTTGTTTATTTCGATTTCCTACAATGTAAAAGTGAAGGAAAATAGACTGCCTTTACTTTTAGGTTACACACCTTTTAAGGTTGCCCTCCCACAACAACAAAAGAACGCAACAGCATTGATTGTTAATAGAAAATAAAGGTTTTGCATTACCTATAACAGATTACTTTTCCGTATTTTTCTAGTACTCCTTATCATATTTTTACCGCATTTGGGCCCTTACAAATAAAAATCCCTAGTATACAGGACAAAAATTGTATTCTGCTACATGTATACCACAATCTCACCTCCAAACGTACTCAGAATACCACAGAACAGTCGGACGCTAAGAGGTAAAATACAGACATTTTATTAGAACTCTCCAAACGTAACCGTGATCAATAATTTCATGTTCTAGTCGTCCGGTCTGGTGATGCCAATATAAGTCGTATTTCTGCTATCATGCAAGACATGTACAACGTCCTGTGTAATTAATTTCTAAGCCATATTATTTTCTAGCCAGTAGTTCTTTATAACACTCTGTCAGACACAGTAACCGTTGACCATATATGTAGCATTATGATAGACTCATACCAACTAGTAACTTAATTATTTGCCATACATTGTACCCGTGACAATCGTTGTGGAATAAACTTTGACTTTGTCTCATGTCTATTTGTACATCAGATCTATTTTTTTTCATCAGTGATCAGTAAGGTATCTTGACACATCGCTCATGTTTAACATGATCATTTGATGCCGAAGCTACATTTATGTTGTAAGACACAATTCCTGGTCTTTTATATAGAATTTATTTGATATATTATTATATTATATATGTATGTATATAACCTTTCTGTATACATTGTATTCAAGAATAAAAACAGTCGTAAAGATTACATTATTTATTACAAACGTTAACAAAACATCCACATCTGCATTCACGGAAATATTACACATTACATTACTAATTTATTTTATTTACATTTTCACAGAAACTGCATACCTTCAAAATGGCCCCAGCGGACTTCTAAGCTATTCCAGAATGCACCGCGTTACCCCATCGATGTCTATTTTTTGACCAAATAAGTTATGTTACAGACTTTATTTTGGGGGTGATAAAATGCATATTGTTTTGTGTTTTTTGATACGAGGGGGGATCAAAAAGTTCTCGGCCTCACCTAGAAAACGTCATGCCAGAAAAAAATTTCTTACAATATGCTTCAACATAGTTCCCTCTAACTGCAATTCAATTGTTCCAGTGATGTTCCAGGTTTGTTTTCCCCTTGTGGAAGAAGGTTGCATTTGGAGCCCCCAGATAGGGCTCAACTGCACTGATGACGTCATCATTACCATCAAAACGTTGACCACGTAAGTGGAACTTCAGTTTAGGAAATAGGTAGAAGTCCGATTTTCAGAAAATATTCTATGCACCCACTTTGCAGACTGTTTGCTCATTCCCAGGATGTCTGACAAAACATTGTGAACTGAGCCACAACACAGGCCAAAGACTCTGCGACACATCGGACAGTGTCACACCTGTCAGCATTCACTACCATGTGATGGATTGTCCATAGTGCTGATTTGTGGCATCCTGACATATGTTCATCTTTGATGATCTCCTTGCCGCGCTTGTAGCTAGCAACCCAGTTCTTTATAGTTGAGTAAGAAGGGGAATCATCACCAAGTGTCTTGACCATGTCTTCATGGATTTCCTTGGGAGACATCCCTTTTTATCGATACACTTGATCACAGCACACGCTTCTGTTGCGGCCATTTTGTGATTTTGCCCTCACCCGCCCCATTTTCACGGGGAGTCACGTGCTAATTAATGAATATAGAAATTGCATTTTTGTGGGCAGTGATGTAATACATCATAGTATACAGTTATACTATTATTAAAAGAATAGGAGTTTGACATTTATTTTCTAGGTGAGGCCGAGAACTTTTTGATCCCCCCTCGTATCTTACCAACAGTTAGCCTTCTTGGTGTCCTTGAACCTTAAACGGGGACATCTAGGATGCCATCACGGGGAACTATGCATATGGTTTTTTATCACCATTCATTTATGCCGAAAATGGACGATAAAAAACGGCATAATCTACTTATCTTTACAATAAGCGGTGCAATCTACTACTATCTGTTCAATAAAAATTCACATATTCTTGGGTTTCAGTCACGTGACCCGACCTTAGCGACGGGTGTTATCCGCCATTTTGGTGTACCTACAACCCCGCGTAGCCTACGCGCTATATACATGGTTCATTGTTTTGTAGCTGGTTGCGGGTCAAAAAAGTGGTAAACACAGTGTATCTTTTCAATGTGTGCCAAGGTGATTACAAATCAAGGAAAGGACCAGGAAAAACTGACCGAAAAACATCGCAGATTGTGGATTTTTGCGATCAGCCGCGGGGATACGGCCACAGAAATATCCCGAGATTGTGGCGAGTTACTATCGCCACAGACTCTGGGCAAGCTTCACCCGCCTGGGTCCGACACAATGTTGCCTGGGTCCCTACTAAAAAAACCTTGGAAGAAAGAAGTACGGAGATTGGGACGAAAGCAAAGAACAGAAGGAGAGGCGAGGGCCGAAAGGGCGAGAGAACGCATCAAGCGGGCCGAGGAACAGCCGGGTCTGGCGGCTTGACCGGGCGGGCTTCTGACGCCAAAAGCCGCCCGACGCCACACAATGCTGCTGGATATCGCGTACGTGATCTTCCCTACACCGAGGTCAGAAATGTTCCTGTACATGCAGAAATGGCACCCAGGAATTTCCATTAAACATCGACTAAACAAAAGTTTACACGGTGCAAGTGAATTTATTTTGATACTGTAGTACACGTGGCAGTCTGACTCAATTTGAGCCTAAGTGCTAAAACTCCGAGTTCACCCTGACAGCCCAAACTAAAATAACCGATCTTAGCAACTAAAAATTGGGTTAAAATTCGGCTTATCATGATATCCTAATATTCTAATGTGAATGTTCACAAGCTAATTCATGCATAGGTTGTGAGAGGTTACCCAAAAACTTTTTTACGGCAAAACTACAACTAAGGGTACGTAAACAAAATTATGCCCGGAGGCTCCCCTCCCAACGCCGATGATTTACTCCCGCAAACTCGAGGCGGCCAACAAAATTTCTGTCGACAGGGATGACAAGCCGTCATGTGAAATTCTAATGGGGGTTCCAACAGAGACATGCTAGTACTTTTGGTGCTTGAAAAAATATTCATGAACTCCAGTTTGTCAGCGGCGAAACCGAAGGGGCTAGATGAAAGTACACAACAATTTGAACAAACAAAGCCGCCCGCGGGCATGAATAAAAACTGGCATTTTGCATTATTACACACAGAACCCATAATTTTGTAACAGCAACCGATAGTAAAACAAGGATTTACATTACCAAGAAAAGGTGAAACTTAGGCTTACCATAATTTGATTGGGGATAACCCGTCCGCTCCTCTCGAAATTGTTGTTTACGATTCGGCTACGCGAGTCACAAGTTGTCGCGAGAAGGAATCAGACACACGGGTGACCCGCGCACAGAGAACTGTCCAAAACACACTTCCCAGACCCTCCCTCTCTCTCTTAATTCATTTATTGAGAAAAAAATTAGACTAGAGTGACCAACATACGGATCCTGTCCACTGTAGGACTGTGTAGGACTAGTAACGTTAGTCTTTGAAGTTGGTTCACACATACGCTACCACATACGCAAGTTTTGTCGTCCTATATCCTTAGTCATCGTATCCTTTGACTTCCTAATCCTACTCAAAAATGGACAATTTCATTGAAATCCTTGTCATCTGTCAACCATCAAAGACTGCAAAATTATCGTGTGGCTGTTAACTACTTGTATGGCTTCGGGTACCCAATGTCTTGACACTGCATAGCACTACAGCGAGGTACACCAAAAATGGCGGCCGCCTGTATTACGCAAGCCCCGTGACGTCACGTGAAAGCCGAGAATATGGCGAAAATCAAAACACACAGGATGAAAAACTGAAGATAATAGAAATTTGGTACATTCCTTACTTGTAAAATTTATATAGATCTGTTACGTTAATTTTTGTCGTGCCAAAGATTATGTACGTTACAAATATCAAAGTTCTATTATGTAAAAGCTTAAATTACAGAATTCCTCTATTAATAATGCAATTATGTCATTACTTACATAATTTGCATTTAGTTGCATACATCTGTAAACTAGCTGCATAGCCTGGAAATTTATTGTCCCTTTCTGGACTTCTTCACTTCGAAAGATTTCGCCGGAAATTGACTGCATTTCCAGAAACAGCTGCTAGGTGGACCAAAGCAGACCCAGGGCAAAAGATACAAAAAGAAGTTTTGTTTTGAGCTACAAGGCCAGCCAAGAGGAGGCCCACATTTGACATTTACGTAATTTTTTCTAAGACCTACCCACATACCAAATGCCATCACAATCCATAAAGTACTTCTCAAGTTATGTTGACAACGAACATGCTAGAACACACGTACGCGTGCGCGCGCACACACACACACACACACACACACACACACACACACACACACACACACACACAGGTAGAGAGAGAGAGAGAGAGAGAGAGAGAGAGAGAGAGAGAGAGAGAGAGAGAGAGAGAGAGAGAAAGAGACAGAGAGGGACAAGCCAAAAACGATAACCACACTTTTTCTTAGAGCCTAAGGTTAATATCAACTTTTTTGACCTAGTATAAGAAAATCATGAAAGTGCTACATTTGAAACGTCCTGCTATAATGCATTAATAGTCTATAACACAGAATTCTCTTCTGTGACTTTTGTACTATGGTGGTATCATTAAAATGGTGCATTTTAGTTTCGTTACTTTACATTTCTGTCAAAGAAGAAATTCAGCCAGAATTGACAACACACACTTGAAATGATGCACAACATGAAGTCAAAACACGTAATTTTTATCGTTCAAAAAGGCTCTTGTTAGTGTGGGCCTTTAGAGGTCAAGTAATATTCAAGAAGTCAGAATGTTTAAGCCTTTAATGTAATGCAAGCTAGAACATAAGTAGTGCTTGTCGATTTTACGCTTACAATTTGTTACAGAAAATGCTCTTTTCTACTTTCTTTGTATTTGTGGTTTTGAAACGTTTACAAATCATATGCATGATCCTCTCGAACTACACTTGTTTTCCAAACCAATTATTGACAATTCTGTGTCTATATTTGTGGACCTTTTAGCAACTCAGTTTTTTCCATCTTTGTACGGAATCTGATTACAATTTTGAGTGGGGCATAACAAAACCAAATCTTGGAGAAGGGGGAAAATTCCTCACTGGCCAATTTTAGCATCAGGGGCCGGTTCATAGCTGTTTGTCTCAGGGTACTCTGTGGTGTTGTTTATTGCCTCCCTACGCTCATTCTGGCAGTATGCAGCTGCCGGGGACCGACCAGCACCAGTCGCAGGGGAGGGGCAGACGTAACTGTTTCCCCGGCTTGTGGCTGGCTGACTGCGGTGGTTTTTATCATAGACGGCGGACTGAATGCCCGTGGTACGCTCGCGCGGGGCAGCAGGGTAGTAGCTACAGACCATAGGAGACTCTACGGAGTTACAAACCGTCGCAATAGTGTCATGCTGGCCATAAGTGTTAGACAAGGTACGGTCAGGGTTAGTGGCAGGGGAGTTGTAGCAAGGTGTCTTATGGGAACGCTTAGCGACGCTGGCATTCTGTTGGTAGGCAGAGGACAGGGTGGCACCCGGGTTAGGCAGGATAGATGGGTGCTGGTAGCAGATTTTTACGGACTTATCGCCAGCGTTTTCTTTACAGCCATAAGTGTTAGACAGGGTACGCTCTGGGTTAGTGGCAGGGGAGTTGTAGCAACGTGCCTTACGGGAAAGTTTAGCGGCGCTGGCATTCTGTTGGTAGGCAGAGGACTTGGGTCCCGGGTTGGGGAGGATAGATGGGTGCTGGTAGCAGTTTTTGCCTGACTTATCGCCGCCGTTTTTACCATAACCATATGTGTTAGAATGGGCACTCTCTGGGTTAGTGGCAGGGGGGTTGTAGCAAGGTGCCTTACGGGAACGCTTAGCGACTTTGGCATTCTGTTGGTAGGCAGAGGACAGGGTGGCACCTGGTTTGGGGAGAATGATCGGGTGCTGGTAGCAGGTTTTGCCTGACTTATCACCACCGTTTTGACCATAGCCAGTTACGACTGCCCCTTCCGTGCTTGGTGTCTGACGGGGACGCTCGGCGCTGTACGGGCGGGACGGCACGGGGTGTGTCTGCGCGCGGGGGCGGCCTGGGTACGCTGCGCAAAGCTTTGCCTGTCCGTACGGGACGGCTTCTGACTGAGAAGAACCGGCCCTGCGCAAGTCAGGGTGGTCTTGGAAACCACCTTCAGCGTAAGGGCTGATTACTGATTCTGTCTCATTCAAGCTGTGGTGATCCTCGAAACGGCCTTCAGCGTACGGACTGATCACTGGCTCATCCAAGTTGCCAACTGGCCACTTAGAACAGACAAAGATCTCATCGTCATTGTGGGGCGAAGCTGCGCCGTTATCTGGAGCTTTGCGCCCGAGCCTACGCTTGATACACCTGACACAGAACAAAACCCCGGGCCCCACCGCAACAGCCGGTAACCAGATAATAGATGACAACACTATGTTCCATGTGCAGATGCCCCCTTCATAAGCATTATCAGTTTTACTGATGGTAAGTGGTGTAGTGTTGATGCCTGTGGGCACCGGTGATGTGCTCATGGTGGTTGAGAATGGTGTGGTGTTGATGAGTGAGGGTTCTGTAGCCTGGAGTGTTGTGCTTTCACTTGTCATGAAAACCACAGTGTCAGACCCAGTTTCCGAAGAAGCCGTACACGTGGTATTCCCAAAGGCCAAGGGCCCGGTAGTCTCAAGCCAAAGGGTGAAGCTGGATCTCCCCATGTAGTTAGAACACAGGCTGTGATTTCCTGAGTCCCCCAACAGGTTATCTGCTGGTCCATTACATTTCACCCAGCCCTCAGCCTTTAGGTCGGTCACCATTCTCACTGTTAGGTTGCCTGTCGGCAGAGTAGCGCGTGTTGTCGTGTTTGTGTCGTACGTTATGTCGTGTGTGTGTTGTGAGTCATTAGGGAAGGTCCAAGACACTTGTGGCAACTTCTCCCAATACACCCGGCCTACGACCGTGTACTTGTATGCGGGGTCGTGTTCGGCCTTCAGGATCTCCACCATTGGTGGGGGGCAGGGCAGGGTGTGGCTAGGAGAGACTGGCACGGGGAGGTTCCGCATCAGCGCCGAGGAGGGGCAGCTGTGGGTTGCCGGGAGTACTAGTGAAGACTTAACGCTCTTCTTAAACTTAAGGTGACCCCCCTTGTACTCGTAAAGCCAATCATTCACACACGTGCAGCGCGGACGGTTGGTTAAGTGAATTCTCTTCATCCACGGAAGCGCCCTGCCCTCCAACAAAATGGTGGCAATGCCGTTATCATGGACAATGAGATGGTGTGGAGAGGACTTGAACCATCCACCAGAAAGGAAGGTCAGCCTGTTTTCTGCAAGGTTCAGGCCATCCAATTTCGTGTTTGAGTGGAACGCACCGGCAGCAATGTGGGAGATTCTGTTACCCTTCAGGTTCAAGACCCCCAGCCGCTCAAGCCCATGGAACATCCCCACGCCGATCGACCGAAGTTTGTTCTCAACGGCGTGGACATGTGCTACGGACTTGATCGTCTGCAAGGTCCCGGGTGCTACGTTAGCGATAAGATTGGCACTTACGTCAAGCCACCACGGCTGCAACCCCCGGAAAGTGTCAGGCGACATCGTCAGGATTTGGTTGTCCACAAGGATGATGTGTGACAAGCTGGGCAACCCATCAAGGCAGCCACCCTGCAGCAGAACAATTTGTTATACAGTATATTGAAAGAGTTGGTATGCCAGCCAAGCTTTTTATTTTTAATGCGTTTTTCTTGTCGCTTTCCTGCCAAAAAGACTAGATTCGCACATACTCTATCCGTCTGGTCATGGCGTCACGTAACTTCACAACCGTCACCCGTTGACCGGGGCGTTTGCTGATTGGATGTCCGAAATTGTTCCTAAGATTTGACGACTCACAAACGAAAAGTCAATGTGATGGTCTAGTCATTTTTGTAGGAAAGCGACAGAGACAGTGTACGAATAAAGACCCTGACAGATGCATCGAAAACAAATTCAAGTACATCAAGCATGTATTTATATATTTATATATATGTTTTGTTTCATCCCACCTCCAGATGTGTCAGGTTGTTCTCCAACAGCAGCAGATACTTGAGGCTCTCCATCCCAGCAAACGTGCCGTTCTTCAGAGTCTGGACATTGCTCCGCCAGATGACCAGCTTAGATACCTGTGGTAACTTAGCAAACGCCCCTGCCTCTATTGTCGTTAGGTTACATCCCACAAACCACAACCTGCATTCTTCACCACATGGGATCTGAGACAGGATCTCTGCTTTGTCAGGGCCAAGCTTACCGACGTTGTTCTCAACAATCATGATGTCAGTTATGGATTGTGGAAGAGACCCCACCTTGGTAGGCCTTGTTTCGTTTGAGCAGACCTGACAAGATTGGAAAGCCTGGCCCAAAGAGACAGTGCCAAATGGGCCTTCGTAGCCGTAATACTCAAATGGGTCTTTGTTCCACTTGTACCGGTACACATCAATGTCATACCGGTACGCACGACCATCACTACGGCTGTCACCTACACCACACTTTGCCACGGGCACTTCGCGGCAGCTCTGCCAGCTACCGGCGTCGGCCCGCGGCACTAGTAGCTGCATGAGCAGCAACAACGAGACTTTTACCATAAGCTTCATCGCAAAGATCATTAATACACCATGTTATTGATAGCAAAGAACCACAACATGAGTGTTTATCTTACCATATGATCTTACAAAGTGTTTGTCCGCACCTGTAGGTTGACCTGGATAGCGCAGAACGCAGCTCCAGTGCAATGGCGCAACAGCGCTCTAACCCCACCTAACCTAGCAGCTTGTCACACCTTTTGATTGATTAAGTCTTGGTTATGTTGAGTAGTTCAGCCCAGTACAGCCGTTGGCCAATCAGCATCGTCGTAACAACGATCCCGCAAAATAGCAAAAGCATTCCCAGGAAAGAAATTTTCACGTATTGCATTCTTAACCACATATCGCTTAACAGTCGATGGACTAACAGAAGCATTTCCAGGAAAAACGCTACAGGCAGCATGCTTTACCAAGTATTAATCTACATAAACACAAAAAATAAACAAGACAAGGTGAAGGGCAACAGCTTATAAAAGCATAAACATTGAAACATAATACAGTTTCCAAATTTAAAACATCAGACACCATTTACCTTTAGCCTGTTGCAGGCTATCATTAACTTACGTCAATAGGGAATCAAAAGAAAATCGGAGTTTAAAGATCTTAGACTTAGAGTTTTTCTTACCACTCATAACTCCCTGACACGTGAGCGTGACAAGCACTTAGAAAGACTATAATCACGAAAACACAGACTGAAATAAAAACTTCTCCGTGCAGAAGTAGCTTATTTTATTAACCCTATATCTTAAATGCTAGCCAATTTGAAAGTTGATAAACAACTAATTTATACTGTGTCCGGGTGTTAACAAGGCGAAACTGTTTCTTGAGGGGTTGGAGCTGACGAACCATAAAATTAGCATAAATTATGAATGCTTGATGATAGAAATTACATAAAATGACCTAAGATCTTATAGATGATAAACAGGACGTGTCATTTAACATAAAAACCTGGTGTTTAAATTCCCTAAATTACGGAACTTTCCCAAAACGCCAGACACCTGTTGACATTGGCAACATGAAAATCTATAAATTTATCTCATTAATATGAAATCGTTTCCATGTATATCAAGGAAGAGTCGCCAAATTCGATTGTTCCAGCGTTAAGGCGCTATCCTACTAGATAAAAGTTGGCGCTGGCCTTAAAAGCCCCTTTATCCCATCTGAGAAGAGTTAATTATAATTGTGATATACGTGATATTTTAAGACTACATATTTATCAGTCATGTTTAAGTCATATAGTGTTACTCATAATATTGCTTTTTTGACGTCAGTGGTAAGATCCGTGACCTTATTACTTAATACCTTATTACGAGGCTTTAAAGTCACTTGTAGGTTTAGGAATAGATGTAACAGTCCAAAGGTTCTAAACGTTCTCAAACGTCAAATGATTGACTACCGTACTTAGGTCGCCACGGCGTTGCCGTCAGAAGCTGCCAGGTGGCTCTGCTTCACCACACAGGGTTGGACAAGTCCACTTGCCAGGGGCAACTAAAAGCACTACTCTGGCAAGTGCATATCCCCTGAACTTGCCCGATTAGGTTTGTAATTTTTACCTCCGTCATGGAGGTCATGTTTTCAGTAACGTTGTTCCACTTGTTTGTTTGTTTATGAACAGTATAAATCAGGAAGGTATGAATGATTCTAATGATATTTGGTTCGTGAATAGGGAGTAATCTCCAACAGACTTCTTTTGCAGGCTAAATAGTAGAAATCGGCATTAAAAAGGGGGTATAAGTGGCCAGAGAAGGTAGCCGGCCAGAGAAGCCCCATTTGCTTCTACTATTTATTCAGCCTGCAAAAGGAGTCTGGTGGAGACTAAAAAGGAAGGACCTAAACCTGGAAATTATTAGATTTTGGGCCTCCTTGGGGCTCTCCTAGATTTGAACTAAAGTAGCACTTCCGTTTTTTTTATAAATCTTCTGTTTTAAACATTCTATTGTCATGATTTTTCACATTTAAGTTAAACAACTGAATTTCTTGATTTTAAACTATATATAGTTTATATAGTTATAGCTAACCAGGGTACATAGGAATGCAACGGTACATTAATTATGCTAATTGGGGCCTCATTTACATAATTAATGAGGGAAGTTTATAACTGCTTACTGATTAACGATATGAATTTTGCATCTCATGACATATGTAACTTGAATGAAGGTAATTATTAGATATAGATTCTGCAACTCATTTGCATAATTAATGTTAAATTTCTCTAATATCTTACCGGAAAACGATGGAAATTTAATACTCGGGATGTTTGTTACTTAGGATGATAAACAAAGTTGTAACAAACGTACTTTTCACTAAAATTTATACACGCATCAAGATTATAACAATGACTATTGACACTTTCTAAAGCCATGATATAAAAAAAGTAATTTCTAGAAGCCCAAATAACTGAATTTTTTCTCTTTATTAGTAAATAGTTGATGTTTTGTCGTAATACATTCTTCTAAAGAAAACATATGAAACCTTGCGAACATGATTTAATGCAATTCAACATAATGTACGATAAAATGTTCACAGGGATTATTATTATCATTCTATAACAAATACGTAATGGGATAGATTTTGCTTATAGACACAATGTCAAAGCAGCTCAGTACTACAATCAATTCAGCATTCAATATAGTCCATCAAATATGAATAAGGACAAAGCAGGTACAATTATTCTTACAATTATAAGATTTGATGTGTTGAAAAGATTTAGCAGTATGTGTTAAAATGATGATGGACCTATATGCATAAAATCAAAAGCACTACAATTTTTCCTTAACATAAAGTCAGTGATAATCATACATGTTTATACAATATATTTACAATAATAGAATAATTTAATAAGTCGGCACTCATGCTGAGCATTAGAAAGGAAATTTTTTTAATCTTCTTTTTACAATCTATAGGTTTAACGCACCTAATCTTCTACTTTTGATTTACCTGGTCCTATGGCTTATTTGCATGTACCAAGAATCTTGTCAAAGTGCTCTGTTCGTCCTTCTTCCCTAGAGCTACTAGGGCCATTTGATGTACCATGTGTGCCTATCTCTGAGATAATTGACACATCTCCAAGGTCAGTCAGTTTATAGGCTGTCTGGTCTTTTTTTTTTGTCGATAGGTTCCGTTTCAGATAAGCCCTCCAATTTACAGTTCTCAGAAGACGGTATCTCTGTTTCTTTCTCATAGAGCGAACTATCAGAAAGTTTTTGTCTTGGCGTGGGCAATACTGCGTCAGCTGTCATCAAAGTGTCGGTTCCATAGTTTTCGTTTTCAAGTGCATTATTAAAGTCACTGCCATACACCGTCCTTTCGTGGTTGATATGTTCGCATTTAGAATTACTCACGGATGTGCCAGTCATATTATCATCTTTCATCTGGTGGTAGTCGTGGTTAGTTGGAATGTACTCTTTATCCTCATTGATTTTATCATACATATTTTCAGTCTTTTGTATTATATTACCCTTTTCCTCTGTCCCATCGCCGCAGATGGTGTTCTCGTCTTTTATTTCATTGTAGACGTGGCCTGAACAATCGTACACTTCATCCTCGTTGATTTGGTTGTACAAGTTGCCTTCGGGTTGACTATGGTCCTGGTTGCTCTCAGTCAAAGCATTCTCCTGTGTTTTGCTTTCATAGAACTGGTTACTTTGTAAAACTGACTTGAGCTGACTTGAACAGGCAAGGGCTTGTCCTTCGCGAGTTCTGTTTTTACGTCTCATTGCGAGGAAAACCAAAGCAAGGAAACCCACTAAAAGCAATAGAATTACGAATACAGAGAATGCTAGCAACAGAAGTTTGGAATACGCAATGATTGTCTCGTTGGGAGTCGTATTGGTCTGTACTAGAGAAAAATCAAGTAAACTGAACGTTGTTGTATCATTCCACCTTTGTGAGTGTAGCGTTACATTAGATGCCGTAGTTGTTACAGCGTTATTGTCAAGTCTATTTGAGGCAGTTACATTCACGAACATTTCAGTCGCTCCCAAGGTAACAACATTTAAGACATCGTCCCACCCAACACAGTTGGTGTCTTCTGCTTTCTCTATCGAAGACGCGTTAAAGAACGATGCAGCAAGCTCATGGACATCAGCGAGACCAAAACAGGGCACACTTGCCTTATGTCTGTTGCTGTCGCCCTTGTTGCTACGTCTAGTTGGAAAGGTATTGTTTTCACTTATTTCCGTAGTTACAACAATATTTAAACTTTCCAAACCAGAGAGACGTAAACGACACAAACCCTTCAACTTTAGATCTATCCCCCCGCCCTTATCCCATACCTTCAAACAGTGGTTTGGAAAAGACGAGTTCATGTTTTTCTCCCCGTCATACATGACAAAAGGAGGGTAAGCCGTAAATTGACCTAAACTTAAGCTTCTTCTGAGCGGTTGACACGAGTCCAGATTTTTCGGGACGTTTCGTGTCTTTGCTGAGGTTCTAAACCAGTCAATCGTGAATCTTTCGTCGACGGGCTCGTAGTTGATATGTAAAACCACGCCTGATACTTCAACTCTTATCCACTGCTTTATGTTGTTATAGCCACAGTTTTCAAGAACCACTTCCCAGCCCGATTTCACCACTCCCGAAACAAGACTCGGTCCACCAAGGACGACTTTGATAAGGTTCATCAGAGGTAGAAATACCTCACCGTGCAGACATACAAAGTCGTTATTACTGAGGTACACAAACTGCAATTTGGTCAAGAACTCAAACGCGTTTGGTGAAATAATTTGGATTTTGTTTTCACTCAGGAATAGAGTATTCAGCCTCTCTAGTCCTATAAACCACTCACGGCGTACTTCTCGCAACATATTACCCCTTAAATCTAAAGAAGTAAGCTCGACCAGATTCTGTAAACATGCGGGGTCAAGATTAGATATGTTATTATTGGAAATTGAAAGCTGGTAGAGGTTCGTATTGTTCCACCACCAGCCTTTATGAATGTGAGTCAACCTGTTGTTATCTAAATTCAAAAGTTCCAATCCGTTTAAGTCTTTGAAAGTAACATTTTCTATCTC